AAGTTGATTTATTTATTAATTTGTCTGTTTGATTATTTATAAGATAACCTCTTTGGGGTGTGGCCAAGATGGCAGAGTAGGAAGACTCTGAGCCCACCTCCTCCCATGGGCACACCAAAATTACAGCTACTTACAGAATAAAAATCTATGAGAACGACCTGAAGATTAGCAGAAAAGATCTTCCACAACTGAAGACATAAAGAAGGAACCACACCAAGACAGATAGGAGCGGCAGAGATGCAGTATAGTCAGGACCAACACCCCCGGATCAGCGACCCTAAAGGGAAGAATATCACAACTGCAGAGGTCCTCCCCAAAGAGCGAAGGGTCCAAGCCCTACATCAGGCTCCCCAGTCCAGGGGTCATGCACAAAAAAGACGAGCCCCCAGAACATCTGGCTTTGAAGGCCATTAGAAAACAAAGACTCCACTTTTAAAGGGTGCAAAAGAGTTTCACATGCTCTGAGTATGAGCAAAGAGGCAGTAGTTTGAAAGTAGCCTGGGTTAGACCTACTTGCTTATCTTAGAGAGACTGCCAGAGAGGCAGGAGGTAACTGGGACTTCGCCTGAGAACAGAGACTCTGATGGCAGCCAATTTTGGAGCTCGATCTACCTTGATGACACCTGCACTGGCAAGCACCATTTTGGAATCCTCCCTCTGGCCTAATAGGTGCTGCAGCTTAAGCTGCCCACCAGTGGGCCAACAGCCACTGCAAGAGACAGAACCTCACAGCCAACTGAGCCAAAGGCAAACCCCAACTACCAGCATGCCCAAAGTAATCGACCCCACCACAACAAATAAACCCATGCAGCCCACATATGGGGCACCCCTAAAGCATATCATTATGGTGACCACAAGAAAGCATGCTGATGGGTCCCAAAGGACATCTATATAAGGCCACTTCTCCAATATCAGAAGACATAACCACCTACCTAATACATAGAAATAAACACAAAGAATTAGACAAAATGAGGAGACAGAGGAATATGTTCCAAATGAAGGAACAAGACAAAAACCTCAGAAAAAGAATGAAGTGGAGATAAGCAATCTACCTGCTTGATTAATGATGGTCATGATTAAAGGTGCTCACCAAAGTTAGGAGAAGAATGGATGAACACAGTGAGAATTTCAACAAAAGAGTTAGAAAGCATAAAGCAGTACCAAACAGAGCTGAAGAATACAATAACTGAAATAAAAAATACACTAGCAGGAATCAACAGTAGATAGATGATACAGAGGAATGGGTCAACAAACAGGAAGACAGAGTAGTAGAAATCACCCAAGTTGAACAGGAAAAAAAAAGAATTTAAAAAAATGAACCCAGTTTAAGAGACCTCAGGGACAACCTCAATTATACTAACATTCACATTATAGGGGTCCAAAAAGGGGCAGAAAACTTATCTGAAGAAATAAGAGATGAAAACTTCCCTAACTTGGAAAGGAAACAGATATCCAGGTTCAAGAAGGACAGAGTCCCCAACAAGATGAATCCAAAGAGGTCCAAAGCAAGACATATTATAATTAAAATGACAAAAATTAAATATAGAGAATATTAAAATCAGCAAGGGAAAAGAAATTAGTTACATACAAGCATACTCCCATAAGGCTATTAGCTGACTTTTCAGCAGAAACTGCAAGCCAGAGGGAGTGGTATGATACATTGAAAGGAAAATCCTAAAACCAAGAACATTTTACCTGGCATATTATTCAGATGTAAAAGACAAATAAAGAATTTTATACACAAGCAAAAGTTAAAAGAGTTCATCACTAAACTAGTCTTACATAAAATGTTTAAAGGGGCTCTTCTAAGCAGAAAAGGTTACAACTAGAAATATGACAATTATGAAAGACAAAAGTCTCATTGGTAAAGGCAAATATACAGTACAGGTGATATATCAACCAAGTATAAAGTTAGTAGGAAGGTTAAAAGACAAAAATAGTAAACTTATCTACATCCACAATAACTAGTTAAGGGACACACAAAACCAAGAGATGTAAAATACAATGTCAAAAACATTAAACAAGGAGGGTGGGTAAAAATATAGGGTTTTTAGAATGCATTCAAACTTAAGAGATCAATTTAGAATAATCATATATAAGATATTCATCAAATCACAAGAAGAAAAGAACAATAACAAACTGAAAAAAATTCACAAAATGGCAATAAGCACATACCTATCAATAATTACTTTAGGGCTTCCCTGGTGGCGCAGTGGTTGAGAGTCCGCCTGCCAATGCAGGGGACACGGGTTCGTGCCCCGGTCTGGGAAGATCCCACACGCCATGGAGTGGCTAGGCCCGTGAGCCATGGCCACTGAGCCTGCGCATCTGGAGCCTGTGCTCCACAACAGGAGAGGCCACAACAGTGAGAGGCCTGTGTACCACAAAAAAAAAAAAAAAAATGCTCAACAAAATACTAGGAAAGTGAATTCAGCAGTACATTAAAATGATCATACACCATGATCAAGTGGGATTTATCCACAAATCAATATCCACAAATCAACCTATGTGATACACCACATTAACAAATAGAAGAATAAAAATCATATGATTATCTCAATAGATGAAGAAAAAGCTTTGGACAAAATTCAACATCAATTTTATGATAAAAACTCTCAACAACGTAGGCATACAAGGAACATACCTCAACATAACAGAGGTCATATATGACAAACCCACTGCCAACATCATACTCAATGACGAAAAGCTGAAATCATTTCCTCTAAGATCAGGAATAAGACAAGGATGCCCACTCTCACTACTTTTACTCAACATAGTATTGGAAGTCCTAGCCACAGCAATCAGACAAGAAAAAGCAATAAAAAGAATCCAAATTGGAAAGGAGGAAGTAAAACTGTCACTGTTTACAGATGACATGATACTATATATAGAAAATTCTAAAGATGGCACCCCAAAACTAGTAGAACTCATCAATAAATTCAGTAAAGTTGCAGGATACAAAATTAATATACAGAAATCTGTAGCATTTCTATACACTAATAATGAACTATTGGAAAGAGAAATTAAGAAAACAATCTCATTTACAATTGCATCAAAAAGAATAAAATTCCTAGGAGCAAATCTAACCACTGAGGTAAAAGACTTGTACTCTGAAAACTATCAGACATTGATGAAAGAAACTGAAGAGGATACAAACAAATGGAAAGATACACTCTGCTCATGGATTGGAAGAATTAATATTGTTAAAGTGACTATACTACCCTATGTAATCTACAGACTCAGTGCAATCCCAATGGCATTTTTCACAGAACTAGAACAAACAATTGTAAAATTTGTGTGGAAACACAAAAGACCTCTAATAGCCAAAGCGACCTTGAGAAAGAACAATGCTGGAGGTATCACAATCCCTGGTTTCAAACTACACTACAAAGTTACAATAATCAAAACAGTATGGTACTGGCAGAAAAACAGACACATAGATCAATGGAACAGAATAGAGACCCCAGAAAGAAACCAAAGTTCATATGGTCAATTAATCTACAACAAAGGAGGCAAAAATACACAACTGGGAAAAGACAGACTCTTAAATAAATGTTGTTGGGAAAACTGGACAGCTACATGCAAAAGCATCAAACTGGACTACTTTTTCACACCATATACAAAAATAAACTCAAGATGGATTAAAGACTTAAATGTAAGACCTGAAACCATAAAAGTCCTTTTAAAAAAAACCCATAGTAAGTAATTTCTTTGACATTGGATTTAGCAATACATTTTTTTGATCTGTCTCCTCAGGCAAGCAAAACAAAAGCAAAAATAAACAAATGGGACAATATCAAACTAAAAGCTTTTGCTTAGTGAAGGAAATTGCCAATAAAATGAAAAGGCAGCCTACTGAGTGTAAGAAGGTATTTGCAACTGATATATGTGATAATGGGTAATACCTGAAATACACAAAGAACCCATACAACTCAACATCAAACAAACCAGCAACCTGATTCAAAAATGGGCAGAGGACCTGAACAGCCATTTTTCCAAAGGAGGTATGCAAATGACCAACACACATATGAAAAGATGCTCAACATCTCAAATCATCAGGGAAATGCAAATCAAAACCACAATGAGATACCATCTCACACCTGTCAGATGGCTATCATCCAAAAAAGACAACAAATAACAAGTGTTGGCGAAGATATGGTGGAAAAGGAACCCTGTGCACTGTAAATTGATGCAGCCACTATGGAAAACAGTTTGCAGTTTCCTCAACAAATTAAAAATAAAACTACCATATGATCCAGAAATTTCACTTCTGGGTATTTTCCCAAAGAAAACCAAAACACTAATTCCAAAAGATATATGAACACCAACGTCCATTGCAGCATCATTTAAAATAGCCAAGATATGGAAGCAACCTAAGTGTCCATGGATGGATAAATGGATAAAGAAGATGTGATACACACACACACACACACACACACAATGGAATATTACTCAGCCATTAAAAATGAAATCTTGCCATTTGTGACAACATGGATGACTCTAGAGGGCATTTTGCTAAGTGAAATAAATCAGACAGGAAAAGAAAAATACTGTCTGATCTCACTTATATGTGGACTCTAAAAAACAAAACAAACAAACAAAGCAAAATGAAAACAGACTCATAGATACAGAGAACAGATGGATGGTTGCTAGAGCAGAGGCAGGTGGAGGGCTGGGTGAAACAGGTGAAGGGAATTAACAGTATAAATCTCTAGTTACAAAATGAATAACCCACAGGGATATAATATACAGCATAAGGATATGATCAATAATATTGTAGTAACTTTGAATGGGGACAGATGGTACTTGACTTACCGTGGTGTTCATTTTGTAATGTATATGCAAATGTCAAATTACAATGTAGTATACCTGAAACTAACACAATATTTTACATCAACTATATTTAAATTTTTAAAAAGATAACTTCTTTTCAAAAGATTTGAGTTGCTTACAACAGAGGGCCTGCAGAATCTGTATCAAAATGAAATACAAAAACTTACCATGTTAGACCTGTGGCAGGTTCGGACATGAAGAGGAAGCTGCTTGCTTTCCAGAGTTCTCTGAAAAAGCAAAAGAATGCCCATGATATCTAGTAGTTGGCTCCAAGGGAGCTTAAAAAGACAAAAGGAAGCTTCTTTATGAAAGAGTTAAGTGCTATCATCAGGAATGCGGGTAGGAGTGCAGGAATAAAATTTGAATAAATAAATAAATGGCAAGAAAAACTGGCAGAGACTATGCATCTTTGAACTTCAAATTAACATTTGTCATAAGCTTCAAAAGAGTCCTAAACTCTTCACTGTCCAAAACCTCCTGGCCATCACTAAAACACTTCATGAGGCCGGTGAAATAATATATTTCACAGGTTCTGTAACACTTAGAAGACCAAGAAAGAACAAACCATCCTGATCTTTAGGTAAATATGGCATCATCTGCAAGTAGAACATAATCAGATTTATTTGATGGTCAAACCCTTCAGAGCTGCAAATAATTTACTGTGTTTTATTAAATTTATTTTCTTCATATTTTGAAAAGAAGAAAATAGTACACTGGCGTGTGTGTGTGTTTGTGCTTCTGTGTCTATGTGGAAAATAGCAAGGTTGGCTAATGGAAGAAGAGCATAAAAGACTTTTTTGCAAAATCAACTGAAGGTATCTACAGTGACTACTTTAAAAGTATGATCATCTTTAAAAAAATTTTTTTAACAGTTGAAAACATTATGAAAGAGAAAGAAAATTCAGACCAAGGGAAAAAGAGATAATGTAAGCATGCCAACTCTGAGAATTGTCAGAGTTGCCATGGTTATTTCAAATCTGCTTTGAGCTTCCTAGCAGCCAGGACAATGGGCTCACTAAATTACAAAGCTTTGTTACTGGAATAAGAAAATATTCTAGTTCCTCAGAAAAAGAAAGGCTTTCCTTGATTTTAAATTCCAAAGGTATCTCTCATGTGAAGAAAAAGAATACGGTATAATATAGTATATACTATCTTCAATTGGATTTTTATTGCTAACATCAAATGATTGTTTAAAGCACTGCTGCTCAGTGAAGGCATTTCTGGGAGGTCTAAGGAATCCCCACTAAACATACAGCCCTCCCATGCTCTAGAAATATCACTGTTCTCTGGAGAACACATTAGGATCTTCATGGTACACCTAAGTGAATATATTTTTCCACTTGATTGTATCCTGTCATATAAACATAATCAATAGAATCAACTGTCACAAAATTCACTGATTAGTTTTTTAGATGAACACAGGAACTAAGGCTCTGAAAGTTGGAAAGGATTTCAGAGAGCTCTTGGTCCAATAATAAATTATAGCAGCTAATGTCACAAAAGGCATCTCTGACAATCAGTATAGGAATTTGGCATGCAGGCTGTCATGGACAGTTGGATCACTCTCTCACAAGCCCATCTATCTACTCCACTGCTGTAGACAGTTGTTTTATTATGTTATGCTGAAAACTACTGGACTGTAATTTCCACCCGCTTTTTTTGCGGTACACGGGCCTCTCACTGTTGTGGCCTCTCCCATTGTGGAGCACAGGCTCCGGACGCGCAGGCTCAGCGGCCATGGCTCACAGGCCCAGCCGCTCCGTGGCATGTGGGATCTTCCCGGACCGGGGCACGAACCCGTGTCCCCTGCATCGGTAGGTGGACTCTCAACCACTGCGCCACCAGGGAAGCCTTCCACCCGCTTTTAAAGTCTGTCCTCCAGATCAACTGAGCAGCTCTCAAGTATAAGAAGACACTTTTGCTTTACCACTTCCGTCTTACCTTCCCTAAGCTAAACATCTTCAGTTTATGCTATTCGTCCATTTAAAATGATGCTGATTACTTTAAAAGTCATATAACACTTTAAATTTTTTTCAGTGCTTTGTATACATGACCTCATGTTTACCTTATACCTATGAATGCTCTACAACAGGTATTTTAATCATAAGAACACTAACTGGCCCCTAGATCATACCACTGGTTTATGGCAGAATGTAGACTAGAAGCTTGGTCTCTTCACTTTCTTCCTATCTCTGTGTTTAAACGATCAGTTTACTACACTGAACACTCATTAACCGCAGTGAATATTCAAGAGAAGAAAGTCTGAAGACATTTTACTCATGTTAAGAAAATAATCAGGAAGACTCATTTATGGTAACTAATACTTGTAAATTTACAATTTTTCCAAGTGTTAAGAATTTTATATAGGTGTTTGGAACTTCTGAAAGAGATATTTTTAAAGTTTTTCTCTCGTTTTTAGCTAAAATTTTGACAAAACTATAGGTCTGAGTTCAGGTTCATGTTTAGGTTTGAGTTCAGGTTTAAGTTTGCTGATTATCCCAACCATAAGATAATAAAACTAATATAAACCCTCTGGTTTGCCAAATAAAAATAGAATTCTTTGAGTAATAAAAATGTGTGAAGGTTCTAGGACTTTATGTACTTCAGTCAGTTCAGATACCATTTTCCTGCTGTTATTTTTTCCTATATTCATTTTCATCCACTCAATTATTGAGTTCCTGGGCATCTTCTGCTTTCTCTTTTGTGTTCCTAGCAAGAATTATCGGAATTCAAACATTTTCCCTTAAACAGCAACAACAAAAATCCACTGAACACATAAAACTTCACCTGTTGGGGTAAAATCCTCAAGGGCCCTAGAACTATACATACGGTACTCAAAGGCACAGAAGCAGCAGTCGTTAATGGTCTGTAATTAAAATCTCAGCTTTAAAATGTGCCTCCAGGGGCATTTCAACAAAGTCCAACTTAAAGAACTTTCACTGTGCCAAGGAGGTGCTCTACTAAGCACGAGCACATTGAAAAGTCAAGTGGTGAGAGCCCACCCTCATCCACTGTAGGAGGCCGTGTGCATCACTGCGGGAACTCCCGGAGCGCAAGCTGACACTGCAGCGACAGGGCGGAAGGAGAACTGAAGAGGCTCTGCACTTCTACGGACATGGAGCACAAACCTCTGAGGATGTGATGAATTGAGACTAATAGCAGGTTGCACTACTGAAAATATTAGTCTGATTGCACATTGTCTAAGTAGAATGAGCCTGCTCTTCAGTGTCTTTTTTCCTTTCCAAATGTGTCCAAATGTCAATTTGAGCCATTTTCCTAAGGAACAAACTAAATGGCCATCAGAATATAGAAAACGAAAACGAGTCAAAATGGCCACAGAGAGAAGCAGACTCGGAAGCCACGTGTGAAATTTAGATCAACCAGCCTCTGCTCGGGATACTGACCCAGCCACCAGCCAGGCCCACTTCCAGTGTTTAGTCTTGCAGGCAATCCCCTGTCATTGGGCACCAGTAATTCAAGTTACCATGCTACCAAAATACGGCATTGGTTCCTTCATCCTGCATCTTCCTGGGATTCTTTACTACTCCCCAATCTTGGTCGTGCTTTCTTTCTAGAAGTGACAAAACCATATATATTTGGCCGCGCAGTGTGGCACACGGGATCTTAGTTCCCTAACCAGGGATCAAACCCGTGCCCTCTGCAGTGGAAGCGCCACAGCCTTAACCACCAGACTGCCAGGGAAGTCCCAACAGAATCGTTGAAACGGAGCAGGCTTTAGAGGGAAATAGTCTGCTTTTATGCTAGGTTCGCCTACTTACAGGGAAAGGATGTTTATTCCAGGCTCCTGATGTTTTTCCTTGCATCTAGAGAGACCTCAGCTCATGTAACATTCCCAACCTCTTTACTCTTTCACCACTCTGCCTCAGAGAATGAAAAGCAAATTATGTGAATGGTAACTTTGAGAAGAGTAAATAGGGCTTGCTAAGCTCAGCCCCTGCCGTGCTCTCCTTCCTTGAGGAATGGCCACAGTAATGCCCATATTCATGTCTTATCTTCCATGTTGGAAATTTTCCAAGGGGAGGGCCCCACGGGAGGAGACATGTCCACCTGGCCTGGCCCGATAGACCGGTCTGTTTCTGACCAGCAGCACTGGGAAGCCCACAGCTGCTGCACTCCTAAGCCACATCATCTCTCCCAGCCTGAATCAGTAATAAGTATGGTACTCTGATCTCCATCTTGCTCCTTGTCTATCTCTTAAGTGGCTTGTAGCTCAGGACCATGTTTTAACTGTGTTGACCTTGCACAGCTATTTTACTACAGTCATCATTATCCACTCACATTTGTCAAGTTTTTGAACATCTTTTTCCTCTTCTGGATGTTATTTTACCTACCTGGCAGGAATGTGAATGTAAAGTGCCTAGCACAGGGCTTGGCCTTCAATTAAAGTTTACCTTCCTTTGCTTTTTTTAATTTTAATTTAGTCATCACCTGTTGTCTTGATTCCTTCTTCCCTTTAATTTCCTCCAATAAATTGGCTTCTTCTGTCTTGCATCATTGTCTTCCACACTTTCTTATTTCTTCTTTCTGTCTCTAGGCACTGCCCTAAATCAACCTAAATTTAGTTCTTAAAGTGTGGTCCCAGAACCAGTAGCGTCAGCATCTTTTGGGAATTTGGTGGAAAGGAAACTCTCAGGCCCTATCCCAGATCTGCTGAATCAGAAACTGTTGGTGGGGGGCTAGCAATTTGTATTTTTACAAGCCCTCCAGGTAATTCTGATGCATGGTCAAGGCTCAGAAGCAGAGGCCAACATCATTCAGTTTCTGCTCAGTTCCATGATTTGTCTCTGCCCACATACTTTTCTTTTTGTGCCTTACTCTCTTTGTGATTACCAACCATTTTGTTTGGTATCATTATCCATTGTTTCATACCTGAAAGCCCTGATACCCTCCATCTCCATCCAGAAAGGGGGGGAAAAGGGTGACCATTTGGCCCTCAAATGATTTAAAATTAGGATCTATGGTCTCTTTTATACAGATTTTTTTGGTCCACCCCAAATTATTATACCTAACTTATTGAAAATTTAGGCAACTCAGTTTGTTTTAATTTAGTTTACCAAGTTTTCATTTTCGAAGCCACTGTATAACATAAACCCACTCACAAATCTGTAAGCCTTTGCTCTGTGTTTTGTTTTTAACGGGTAAATAGAAAATCTCCTACCACAGGAAACTACAGGTAGCACTGAAAAAAACTGGTTTTCACAGCACT